CAATAAGGTCACCCCACAGCCTTCTCTTCTCCAGGCTGAACAGCTCCAGCTCTTTCAGCCTTTCCTCATAAGAGAGGTGTTCCATCCCTCTGGTCATTTTTGTGGCCTTCCTCTGGACCCTCTCCAACAGGTCCATGTCCTTCTTGTCCCTCTTGGACCCCAGAGCTGGACGCAGTACTCCAGGTGGGGTCTCACCAGAGCAGAGCAGAGGGGGCAGAATCACCTCCCCTGACCTGCTGGCCACGCTTCTTTTGATGCAGCCCAGGATACGGTTGGCTTTCCGGGCTGCAAGAGCACATTGCCGGCTCATGTCCAGCTTTTCATCTGTCAGTACTCCCAAGTCCTTCTCAGCAGGGCTGCATACAATCCCTTCATCCCCCAGCCTGTACTGATACCGGGGGTTGCCCCGACCCAGGTGCAGGACCCTGCACTTGGCCTTGTTGAACCTCATGAGGTTCACACAGGCCCGCCTCTCCAGCCTGTCCAGGTCCCTCTGAATGGCACCCCGTCCCTCAGGCATGTCGACTGCACCACTCAGCTTGGTGTCATCTGCAAACCTGTTGAGGGTGCACTCGATCCCGCTGTTGATGTCATTGATGAAGATATTGAACAGCCCTGGCCCCAGAACGGACCCGTGAGGGACATCACGTGTCACTGTTCTCCATCTGGACATTGAGCCATTGACCACTACCCTCTGGATACGACCATCCAGCCAATTCTTTATCCACTGAACAGTCCACCCATCAAATCCATATCTCTCCAATTTAGAGAGGAGGATGCTGTGGGGGACCACGTCAAAGGCCTTACAGAAGTCCAGATACATGACATCCATAGCTCTTCCTTTGTTCACTGATGTAGGATCACAACCCTTATTCAAGTACTCTCTAAGCCTCTACTATTCCCATAGGTTCCCAGCACAGAACTGCGCTATGAAGGCTCAAAATGCTGCAAACCACAGAGCTTGTATCAGTTCCCAGGGTCTCAACTCCTTTCAGAGAAAGGACATTCTGTACTCCCACTTTATGACCACAAGCTTCAACTACATTGTACCTTGACTTGCCTTCACTTCTAGTCCGGATTTCTGCTTTTACCATTTCCTGGCATCTGCTCCCTTGTCTCTAGAATTTATATAATTTTGAGTAAAAAGTTTGCATTCACAGAATATCAGATGAAGATGACTTATTTCTATGTAAGCACAATTCATGTGAACATGAATGTTCGTGGACTTCATGTGCTGAGGAGATAACTCAAAACCTGTTACTTGAACACATGTCTCAAGAGAACTACATAACTTCCTTTACTAAATCTGGTTTCTGTACCTCTGTACGCAGCTACAAGAAAGAATTAGTGATCCATTTTTGTGTAGGTTTACAGCTGCAGAACCGCTGTTGCTACACACAAGTCAGTATACTGTGTTCTTTCCATTTAAACAGCTGGTCCTTCACTTCAAATCCACAAGTCAGGTTCCTTTTCTCCAATTAATTGATGGTGGTCATTACCGATCATCACTGATCTTGTACTTCAGTTTCCATCTGAACCCCTTCCAACAGCTTGCTCATAAGGGGCCATACTACTCTTGTAATTAATGTGGATTTCCATTACCAGATGGGGTAGATGTTTAGTTTATTACATCAGTTTATTACTGATGTTTCACATGTTCTGAGATCTACAGCAGTATCTGTAATTTAGACATGACAGAAGTCTTCCAGCAGAGATGAACCTTGTTAAAAAACTCTTCAACAAAGCTACCAGTTTGGGCAGTTGACTTTCTCCTGTTTGGTGGCCAAACCAAGCAATCAATAAAACTTCCAGTCAAATCAATCCAAAGGAAACATTTTTGAATGTACACATCAAAATGAAAACCGAAAATATTTCCTCCAGACTGAATTAAATGTTTTTAGAACTTAAATTATTTCATCATATGCAAGGAGACAAATGACTTTATTCACAGAACACAGGGGAAGAAGAGATGGCAGCACTGCTTCTGCTTTGTGTGTGTGAGAGAGAGAGAAAGGAAGCACGGAGGCACAGAAAATCCAAGAGAGCAAGAGAGTACGTGTGTGTGCATGCGAAGCTAACTGGTACACTTAGCCGAGTGATGAAGGCCTAGGTTGTCCAATGACAACTTAATATACAAGTGAAGAAGTGGCAACAGGTGACATGCTGTAGCTCACCCTGTTTTATCATATAACCCACTGACAAAGGAACTCTTTAAATGGTGAGAAAGCTGACAGGGAAAAAAAAAAAAAAAAAAAGAAAACGCAAGCCTAGGTCTCCCACACATCATGGGAATGCTAGGTTGGTAGATAAGAAGAAAACAAACATTCCTTCACCCAGTGTTTTGTGAATCAAGTTTTTTATTTTGTTCTCTTTGAAGTGCCAGAAAATGAAAGATGAGTTTCACCACTTCTTGAACAATTTCAAACCAACATGGTACATTTGAATTTCACTGAACCTATCCAACCAAATTGATTTGAGTTAGAAAATTTGAAAGAGCACCTTGCTTCAGCTGCCCCAAACTGTGAGTTTAAGTTAACTAATCATCCAGTTGTTTCTTGGCTTTTTCCTTTGTGCCATCCAATTAAACACAAAGAAAACTTCCTGTCTGAACAAACTAGTGAAGAATAATTGCTAAATGTTATTCTTAATGAAAGACATTAATTGTCTTTAAGGTGTCTGTGTGACAGGATCTATCTGTGGCCTGGATACACTCCAAGAACAGGCAGATGCCAGAGCCACTTGCCAACCATACCTTTGTTTCCAGAGCTGCTGCAATTTTTGTTTATTATTTTTTTGAAAAATAAGTGGTAAATCATAAGATTTAACTAAATGGACACTTCAGCTTCTGGTTATAGGTAAAACATTGTCTTAATGCCTATTGAACTCAAGACAATATTTTCCTATATAAAGAAAGGAAACACTGAAGTTTTTAGGTACTGCAGTCCCTTATAAAACTAACCTTCGATGGGAAACACTTAATGCTGTACAGTCCCCTGTATCAGCTGATGTAATATGCATTAGCATTACTACACTCAAGCATGCATTTTTTTTCTGGGCTTCCTGAAAGTAAGCCAGTGAGTAAAAAAGATGTGCCAAAAGAGTAGGCTGTATATTTTCTAATAGAAAAACTGGAAACAGGAAAAATGTCGCTTGGAATATTTCTTTTGCAAATTATTCATCTAGGTGGGAAAGATGAAAAGAGGCGTATATAAACTTCAGCTGTGGTCATAACATTATTAACCTTCCAGACTCTCTTCATAGACAACTGTTGGTTCAAAGCACTACTAGCATGAAACATAAGATCATACCAACTAGAAATAGGCTAAGCAGTAAATTGGTAGCAACAAAGAATATAACGTAGTAAGAAATCAGATGGAAAAGTATTTCTAAAAACATTATTTTTCAGTGATTTAGGGAAAAAGACCTACACAAATACATCAAGGATACAAACACACTCTTCCTCATGAATCCTGCTACTTCTAACATATTAGAGGTTAAGAAACAAACATTTCCATCCCATCAGGTTTCCTCCTCTTGTGTTTCAGTTAAAAGGGCTTTCAAATCCACCAGTGCAAATCCTTCTCTGGAATATTTTGCACTGCCCAGGCATTTTATTGTGTTTCATTACTTCAAAACAGATAGCCAGACCCTCAATTTGTAAAAATCGGCAAAGCAACATTTAAGCCAATGAAACTATGCCAACTCACATCAGTCCAGAATCTATTTGGCTCCTTTTACTATTAACAGACCACCAACATTGTTTTACAACGTCTTGCTGCTGTAAAACAAAACGTCTTGAAAAAATTGTACCTTCAACACAATTATTAATTCACTTTTATCCACCAGAATTGCATAAAGCGGTCTTAAAGATGCAACTAATACCTATCCAGAGTATAGACTCTAGGCAACAGTATTTTTCTAGGCTCTGCTGAATTCTTTTCAAATTTCAGGGTTATGTTTGCACTTGCCCTTTCTTATGACAGCTGATTGTGCCTCCCACTGTCTTCCAAGTAAAGAAAAAATGAACAACTATTACTAAAAGATGACAGATTAAGTTTTGAAATATCTCAAAAGTCTTTCAAGTTTCATTCTTTTCTAACAATAATTACTGTCCTTCTCCTTCAAAAGTATCAAGCCATCCTTTTCAGAAGTACCTCTCAGACTTTGATAGCCCATGGGCAAAAATACTGGGCACCTATAAGGCTGTGCATGCCATCACAGTTGGCTCCCCCGTTTGACTTCTGCTTTGATTATTTTAATTCACTGTGCTTGCAAGCACTATGAATACTTGAAGTTTAATGTCTGCTCTCCCCATCTTTTATTTATTGTACATAAGAAGTGTGAAATCTCAAAGGCAAGATCTAAAGATGGAATCAGAGAGAATATTTTGACTTTCTGTATCTTTTAAGTAGAAAGATCCGAGTTTTTCAATTCATTGCTAGGGGATGAATTTATATAAAAGACTTAAAACTGCCTTTTGATGTATTATAGAAGAGCCACCACAATTGAGAATTTGTTCAGAGAGTTAAAATAAGGCACCCAAACGCTACAGGGTTTTTACTCATGCTATGATGCTATTACATCAAAACAGTAACACGATATAAGAAGTAACAACAAAATAATGAAATTATATTTTACTGTTGTCTTTAGCCTTATTTCACAGTTACTCCACTTATGTTCACAGTTAACTGTCGTCTTAAACTGATGTCAATTCCTGACCAGAGGGACACGTGTGAACACACTAGGCACATCTCTACTGCTGCTCTTTGGTGGTACCTACAAAATCTCCATCAAGGCTTTGGGCATTGCTGTGCTAGCATTGTTCAAAGATATATCATGAAAAGGTGATGCCTGTGCTTCTGTTTTATGTACCTTCTAATTCCAGAATAGCCCCTTTAACACGTTGAAGAGATCCTGTACTACAAAAGCAAGGAACTGGACGACTCCTAATGAATTAGCATTCGACTCACACAGAATCTCACATCCTTCCTTCCAAAGGACCAAACACATGTGAATCTGATTTCTTTATCCAGAAAAATCTTAGTAATACAGAAATACTTTGAAGCATGTCCCCAAAGAGATGAAATTATCATGATTCTGTCTACTCTGCATAGTGTTCTAGCTGTGTTAGCCCAAACAAAAATGTGCCTTGTGCAGCCAAGGAAGCTATTTTTAGATCTGAAATTGTATCCAGGTTAGAACTGGATTAGTAACAGCACATTGCCTAACCTTTGAGGCGGAAGCTCTGGGCTGAGCCATTGCAAAGGTTCCCAGATGGGAATCGTGCCCTCAGTGAAACAATATTGTATAGTAAATGGTGGCTTCTTGACTGTGAATATTCACATATTCATAGAAGGAAAGTATCGTAAGTTGAAACTGCTTCACTTCCCTGGCAATACTGCCAAGTAATTGGCTCAGAAAGTAACTTACAGAGTACCAGGAAAAATGCAAAATTTCTCTTCAGAGGGAGCATTTCCTCCCTTTTGGAAGCATTGTTAGATTCTAAGATATTTTTCTGTCCTGAATGTGTGACTTCAAGAAAAGTAGTTTGATCACTCACTGCCTCAATTTTTCCATCTGCAAAACCTGAACAATAATTGCTTCATGTCATAAGCCTTTTCATTTCTTTGAGACCTTTCAGTGGAATACACCACCTGCATGCACACACACAATACTATGAGATCAGACAGTGTGCCACTACTCCTCCCTTCCATCTCTTCCCCTCACACCTCAAACAAGTATAACTTTCAGGCATTACCCAGGGATGCCAGAATACCATGGTAAATTTTCAGCTTTGAACGGACTAAGATATTTTTGTAGAAATATGTACATTTAGGGGAATTTAGAAAAGAATAAAGACAACTGATTTCTGAGAACCCATGTTTTGTATTAGGTGCAAAGAAGTCACTCTGGATAGGTCAACACAGGTTGGATTGACCTGAAACTCTCTCAGAGAAGAGCCTGTAGAAAACAGTGGCATGCAGAAATGTATAATGAAACCTAAAAACAGGATTTAGCCAGAACTTTAAGAACATTAAGAACTACACTTAAATTCTGTATTTCTAAGACTGGGAAATGGATAGAATGTCAGAATCCAACTGTGATACCAGAATGTACAAATCTATTTTACAGGAGAAATGAAAGGGAAAAGACCATGCTGCACTCAGAACTAGTACGGCTAGTACAGCATGAACAGGAGAAAAAGCAGGTATTACATAGTAAATGACCACAACACATGCCCTTACCAAGCAGGAGTAATGGCACGTGGGAAACTGGAAGTAGATAGGAGAGGGGGTCCAACATCTTGCTTAGCCTCCTGATGAGCCTATTTGTCCTTTTTTCTGTCTTCAAACACTCAAAAAGAGCTTATTATGGCCACTCAGAGTCTACAAATGCCAGCTGAGAAACATTAGGTCTTCAGCTTTTGCGGAGCTGCTCCCATGCAAGCTCCCACTGAACTTGCTGGAAGTGAAACTGGTTAGAATCAGTGAAGATACAAAGCAATGGAAATTATAGACAGCCACTTAGAACAACACTGGCTATCTGTAATTCACTGCTGTTCATTGCTTTTTCTTGAACTAGACTGAAGAAATTTTGTATATTTGGGAATATCCTCATTTTGCTTAATAAAATCTTGGAGCCTCAAAACCTGGATTGGCAGGAAAAAACCAAAGAAATGGATGATAAATTCTCATGGTGAAAACACGTCCATTCACCCATAATCTCCCAGAATGGACAATCACAAATCATTTCATTGTTCTTCTGAAAAACGTACTAAATGCAATGATATACTTGGAGTAGAAAAATAAATGCAGCACTGAGTATCATCAGAACTTTTCACTAGGGCAGCGATTTCAGTTGTTAAAGCAGTTGTTTTATAGCTTATCCATGGGATAAAAGGATCAAAATGTTCACAGGCAAAAACTTCACATGATCACACTGAAGACAAGGAAATATCCTGTACATAACATTTTAAAGCAGATAGCATTTGCCGAAAAGAACTGAACAACACAAAAGGGGAACACCTGAGAGGGAGAAAACATGTATTTATAGTTGTCAGAAATTTTAAAGGTGAACTGTTTACCTGGGTAAATAACTGCCTTGTAGGCACTCTGCTTTTGTTTTGGCAGAAAATTATTTATCCAACCTGTTATGACTTTTCAAATAACGACACTTTCCTGTATAAATATTTTGGTAGATGTACTAATCTGGAAAATTTCCATCACTTGGCCTGCAACTGACTATACATTACAGCTGTTACAGGTGGATAATTTAATACTAACACATCTCAGGTATTTATTTCCAGATTAATCCATGTCCCCAGATTTGCATTATGACTTACGTGTAACCAGAGTGGGGAACAGTACATAAGCTATGACATCCTCAATGCTACTTTGGGGTCACAGTGCTTTCTCCATCTCATTCCTGACCTTGAGAACATAGAGGGAGGCATACCTAACTACTAATATATACTAAATTATTGCACACTCCAATCTGCTTCAGTTACCACCCTTACCGTCAAGTAAGCAGAACAGAAACAACGATCTACTTGACTTTTTTTCCATTCAAGTCTCTTGCTCAAGGGAGCAAGCAAGCAGGCCCTTTTACATGTCTACACACACACAAAAAAAAAAAAAATCAGAAAGTCAACAAGAGCTGTAAGGAAGATTCTAATCTCACTCAGCCCTGTATACGGATGAATAGTGAAGAGTCACCATCCAACCCTGATATAGCCAAACTCCTCACCAAAAAACTTAGTATATCTCCAAAGATTGATATTTGAAATTTATCAAAATAAATAGGCTTGTCAAAATTGTCATAGATGTGAAGGAGCAATAATTTCTGTTATTTCCATCTAGAGTTCTTGCATATTTTCTTGAATGATACTCACAGCAAATACAATTAAAATCTAATCAAGAATCTCTCAGGTGAGAGGAAAAATGAAGACCCCTATTATTACTGGGTTACATTTATGCCCAGTTTACCTCAAGTGAAGAGTTTTGAAGTTTCCCAGTTAGGACGTCTTTCTCTTTCTCTAGTTGTTTTAGTTCACACTCAGATTTTCTTTTAAATTCCTCTAGCTGTGTCTGGAGCTCCTAAAGTTAAAAAAAAAAAAAAAAAGAAAAAAAAGAAAAGAGCATGCAATATTTGGGACAAAACATGCAGCATGAAAAAGAAAGATCATTTCTACATTAACCCAGATAACAGAGCAATTTACACAGTAATACATGCTACTGTTTACACAATAATACATGCTACCGTCTTTTAATATCACTCATGCATTATTCAATCAAAGAAGTATTAACAGTTTGGTTTGGTTCTTTCTAACACTAGTGTTAGACAATACCGCTCACATAATCCTAATCTTCTACTGAAAGCTTCCCTGAGGTGGAAAACTGTACAGCATGAAGAGTCAGACTGTTTTGCCTTGAGTGGTGTTAGTGTTCAAAAATAATATAGTACGCAAGAGTCACCCACAAGATCTGAAAAAAATGTAAATATACATTTACCATATAAATAACCAGATGACTGACTAATGGGCAATTAGTGGAAAAGGGAATCAAAGGAAGCACTATCTTATAGCATCCATAAAGAAAATCCCAGTCAGGAAGTAAAAATAAAATAAAGTAAAAAATTGAAAACTATATTATCACCTTATTGCTGGAAATAGTTTTTGAAAAATCAATGGTAATACCACTTGCAAGACAGTGACCACAAGGTTGTAGCAATTGTTTGTAGCAAATGTGAGCAATTGTTCATTGTAGAAAGACTGAATGTGCAACTTCTAGAAATGTCCTGAAGTGATATATATTACAAGCTTATTAGTGTGCTTGCTCTTCCTATTTGTGCCAATTTGCTGACTCAAAAAAAAATTCTATCATATTTTCAGACACCACAAATGGAGAAACAGAAAAAAATAGCAATTTAATACCTCCCCCATCCTGTACAGCCCCTTCTCACAGCCCGCCCCCATTTTTATAGCACAATGACTTAAGAATTCAAGATAACAGAAAAAGTACCTAAAAACTAAGAAAGAAAGTGATAATCATTGGGAGGATGGCATGATATCAGAAAACAGAAGCACAGGCAATAGTGACATATTCCTTGCAACTTATAATTAAATAAAGGAGAATACATTAGCATTTCACAGTTTAAAAACAGGACAACTGTTAGGTAGCAATTAAAGGATGGAATCAAATACAGGGACATGACTATTGCAAGGGAGAAACTAGCTTTAGTTTTGCTTGTAAGAAAAGGAGAGGATATAATGGTCTTTTTGATTAAAACCTGAAGATCAGGTGTTTGCAGCATTCCCACTGCAACTCTGCCAAGTGACTTCCTTCTCTATATCTTAAATTTTCTGTCTGGAAAACAGATATAATACTTCTCAAACAGCTGTTACAGACCTTAATTGCATCAGAGGATATAAATAGCATTAATAATGAAAAATATTGTAATTTTCTTTGAGTTCTACTAACTCAAGATCTTTCTGGTTTAATTAATATGAATCTCTAAGAACAGATGGTTATAAACAATAATACTTATTGCCTATAAGCAACAAATGCCTACTATTATGCCTTTTTTACTAAAGTATAAAGTGTTTGATATTTAAGTTTGATCTGACTCACGTGAAGAGCTTCAGCCTGGCATCATTTTAAGTATACCTGCACAAACTTCTTCACATAAAAGAATACACTACATAAAAGGCAAAGTCCTTCCCATAAGGTTTACACGTGATAGCGTAACTGTGTACCTTGAAGAACTGCATCTTCACATACTGATCAAGTGTGAGCACTTTCACAATCAGATAAAATAATTGGCTCACACAGGTTCCTTTTTGAGAAATGAGATTGCATAAATGTATAAACTTCAGCAGTTTCATAGCCAGAAATGAATTCTTCTGACGAGCACTTAACACAATTCCTAGACTCCAGAATCTAGAAGGTACTATGAAGCCCAACATTTAGTGATAGGAGCTGCATGCTTTTTGTGACTTCACAACTTGCCAGCCAGTGATTTGATTATTCTCAAGTAAATGTTGAGATCAGAAAGGTATAGCAGCATTAGAACTAGGAAAAATGGGTAGAAGTACATTTTAGCACCAAGAAGGGTCTAAAGAACACCTGAACAGTAGTCTGATTGTCCAATTCTACAAACTGCTCTAATCAATTTTTTTTCCTGTCTAGAAGATATCTGACAAACACATAAGTACATTAAGAGACAGAAACTAAATTCCTCCTTAATTTATGCTGAAATTTGGTAAACCGCTTGGGCACGCACTGAGTTGTAAGCTTCACTAAGCATTAAAGCCTGTGCTTAAAACTAAACATGTGTTTCAAGGTTTTCCTTCATTTGAATAGATTTCAGCTCCCATTTAGGTTCCTACTGCACAGAAACATTACAGATGATTGCAGATTTCCTGAAGCCAAAGGATTCAGCCACAGACAGCAGTTCTCATGAAAGTGAAATTCTTTGAAGAATCTCTTAAGCCAATCGTTGCCAATGCATACCGACAACAAAAATTACAGCTCATCCAGTTAAAACACATTGAGAAAAGGTATTGCCCAGGTAACCTGTCTGGATCCATGAGAAGATGTGCATTCTTTCTGACTAAAGTTAAATAAGGACATATACATGCATGTATTTGTTTGTAAAAAGTCATCATTTCATTGGTAACACCTGCACTCTGAATCCATTTACAAACACTTTACAGAATTAGATCCTCTGCCTAAATAATGCAAAATTTTAAGTAAATCAATGTATTGGAGTATTTCACAGCAACAATCCATGGAAATTTAAATCAGAAATTGGAATACACCTACAATACATTTTTCTTCAGGAGGAACCTTATATTAATCACTCCAGCTGTCACATGCAAAGCATGCAAGGGTGAGTGTTGCTAAGAAGGCAGTTTATCACATCAAGGATAAATTCACCTTTCTGCCTGTGGAGCTTTTCACAGAAAATCAGCTTGACTGGTTTTTTTTCCTCTTTTTTTTTTTTTTTTTTTTTTTTTTTAAGTAAGACCGTAGCAAGAAAATCCTTGCATTTTATGTTAATTCAAAGTGCCTCCAGTGAGGATAATTCAAATGATGTCACTGTGACCAATAATATTAAAACCAAATGAATTAGGGCATCTATAAATAGAAGAACATTCGTACCTTCTGCATTTTTTCTTTCAGCTTCCATGAAGTTTTAGACTGGCTTGATTTCCTTTGTATGCTTCATTACAAGATCTTCCAGCCCTTTTAACAGCTATTCTTTCATACAAATCTTTTCCTTATGGGACTGATGCTTGCCTTTACAAAGCAAGTTCTCTGTGCCATTTATTCATACTCTCTTTTTAAATAACTACAGTTTCCATAGTCTACAAAACACACTAGCTATATAATATGACAAAACCAGTGTAGAATTCTGGGGTTGCAGTAGTCTATTTTGTAGGGAACATGCTATTTAGGTGGATATACTCCATTGAAAAATACTGGCTTTATGTTAGTTAACAATGTAGAACTGTAGTGATTCAGGGCTGTACGCCTCTTCTGCGGTCTAGGGATGGGGGTTTTTTGCTGTTCTGGTTTGAGTTTGGGTGTGTGACTCACTTCCAACCATGCAGGCTTCCTCAAGGACAACCTTAGTTCTGTGAAAAATGCACAAAAGATAATTTGTTTGTTATGTCTCTGATGCCAGGTCTAATTTTCCAGAATGCTAGCATAACAATATTCTAGGAGAACGAAAAAAAATAGAAAAGATTCCAGGCCGGACAATTTTTTAAGGGGAGACATTGTACAGAGGGAACTCTCAGGATACATATGTTCCTCATTGTACTGACTTTACTCCTAGTATTATTTCTGCATAGCTTTTCAGAAGAACTGTTTTCTATATTTAAAAAAAAACAAATCAGTATTCCAACTTGACCTCAACGGAGAAAGTCTGACTTGGACCTTGTTCTCTCTAAGGTTATGGTTACAGAAGAAACTGAACACTCTGCCCTGGTCTAGCTCAAGGATGCTAGTAGTTTCTTTGCTGTCATTGCAGCAACTCACGTACTTCAGGTTATGAACACGAGTCAATGTTCCACTGGATGAGGTCAGAGACCTGGGAATTTTACAGGATTGACTGCTGCAGAATAACCCAAAAGCCATGAATCTTAAAAGAAAAATGACATTGGTTTCAGTACTTTTGGCGTGCCATGCCTTTGAATATTTGAGAGCAAACCACCTGTTTAAGCTCTTGCACATCTTCAGAGCTGCTCTTGTTCTGGCTCTGTTTGGTAGAAATCATTTGCTGCAGCTGCATTATTTGATTCTTCAGTTCATCTACTTTATTAATAGCTTTGCTTTGGGAATGCAATATAGTTTCTGTATCTTCTGTGGTATCAAAATTTACATTTCAAATAGCATAAATAACTTGTGGAATTTCCAATATGAGTGACTACTAACAAGGAAAACACTGCTGAATGACATTAATGAGCATCTTACCTGCTTTTTGCAGGAATTCCTTCTCTTGAAGCGTACTTCTCTCTTTGACTACACTTAGATCTTCCTCCACATTTCACTATACCTTTTGATCCCAGAATTTCTTGTTGCGTTCCCTTAAACTACACTTCCAAATCCTAAAATACACATGACATTACTTCTACGTTTATTACATATATTCTTCTTTTGTCATCTGAAATAAATGGTCATTTTCTCTCTTGGCGCAGTTCCATGATATAAATCTGTCACCTACAGAGCTGCTTTAAATGTATTTTTTGCTGTTCCATACCCTTAAACTGCCTCTGCTGCCAGAATATTTGTAATGTGGAACCATTCCCTCAGATGCAGACATCATTGTAAAGTGACAACTCATCAAGAGTTACGATCTTAAAAGATGTCTGAGATTATCCTAAACTTGGAACAGGATATACTTCCATTAATTTCATGACAACTTGTGCTAAAAGTTAATGAATATTAGTTTGGGTTTTTTCCCCAATTGCTGAAGTACAATAGTTCGTAACATAATCCATAATACAGATGCCTCAAAACAGAAAAATTGGCTCCTACAGACTTTGCTGGGAATTGTCAGTCCATAACTAAAGGCAAAAATTTGAACCATATTTAATGTTGTATTTCTGGAGGTTCTAGTCTCTGTTTCCAGATGTCTAACATAATACTCCAATATTTTCTCTTCCACAGTAGTAATAATAAACGTGCACGAAAGTGATGCCTTTCATCTAAAGGTCTCAAACCTCTTGGCATACACTAAGGAGAAAACAGAAAATTCATCTTGCTTAAACATCAGTCCTTTTATCTTTCAAGCCTTCTAATAGCTTTTCTTGCTAGTATTTACTAGTGATCAGAGGTATTACTGATTAAAGAAATGTTTCTGTTTCCCAGTCTGCCATTGTCCACAAGATTCTGAAAAAAAAGTAGTATTTAGTGGTGGCATCAGAAATAGCCAATTGAGAAAGGAGAAACTTCTACTTTTTTATTAAACCAGAAAGAAACAGAAAACAACATTGTGTCTAACTGTTTTCCTTCTTCCAGATTTATCCTAGTCTGAGGCTCTCTCTTTACAGATTCAAGGCAATATGCTCTGGTGGTATGTAAATCAGCCTCATTCCATAGACTTAGAGGATCTGAAAGGTACAAGTTGAGCATATGTCCCTCAGAAAATATTTCAGTTTTACCCAGCTGATACTAAATTTAGAAATTAAATTGCTAATGACATCACCTTCTTATTTCCAGTTCCTATCATGTTTTACATTATTTATTCCTAAAAGACTGCATTTCTTATACAATAAATCAGAAGAATAAACCATGTGCATAAATTTTCATGTCTCCATTCTTCACTTCTCCCGAGTGTTACTTCAAGTACCCACAACAAATCAGGATCTTACTTTCCCTCTTCCCCTCTATTGCTTCAAACTTCTACAGAGCCAGGACCCTTTTCCTTATTGAAACAGGTATTACAGATTTCCCTGACTCAATTTTAAAAATTACTTATCTGCATCTCTGCCATTCATTATATCCTCTCCACTTCTCTGCAGAAGATAGAGGTTGTTCTGCTACAGATCTACACACTGAGAGAACGGAGTCTGAATAACGGTGGGGAAGGCGTATTCAATTCACCCTCTGATCTTGTGAAACACAAAGGCAGCAACTGTATTGAAGGCCGAACTCCCTCAAAGAACATCCTCAAAGAAGAGGCCGACAACTCTGCACCATCAGCAAAACAATACTGACAGGCAAGATGTGAGGGCAGATGGTGAAAAGGGTCAGAGTTGTCTTAGCGGAACACAGCTGACTGGGGTGACCCTGCTCTCTACAGGATTGTGGGGTTCTCTGACTCTAAAGGAGATAAATCTTCTTTCCCATCAGGAAACAATTATTGGCATTCTGAAATACTCCAAGTCTAGACCTTCAAAGTGTTTTCTTATCTAACATGCAAGATAGCTGTCGTAGGGCTGGGGACAAGTCTGGTTTATGTGATGGGAAGGACCAACAGCATTAGAAGGAAGTGGAACTGTTGGGCACAGAGCATGGCTGGGTGCTTCAGCATCAGTGCAGTTCATCAGTGTCTCTCCCACACCCTGACCTTATGTACCAAATGCAGCTGGTTGGCAGATTGCCCATGATGTGCCAACCTCCGAAACTGCGGCTGACACATGATGCAATTAAGCAGAAAGGGACTGCAGAGCTGTGCTGCAAATGTATGAGATACACACCAGCAAGAGTAGACAGGCAAAGTGTGAGGTGAGAACTAGTGGTGAAAGTCTCATGGCTCAGCACATAAAACTTCACAGCTGTAAAGGACACTTCATTAAATGTCACTTGGTTGGTACAAGCCACTGTTGCAAGAGTCATACAACACAAAGCACTTGATTCCTAACCTGCCAGCTCAGGTCTCTTATCTAACCCTGTTCATATCGATGCACTGAGCTGTTGGCAACTACAAGGGAAAAGGAAAATGTACTCTGTAAATATTCATTGCCAGCATTAGTGCCTGCTTGCTGTTCTCTTCACACTTCTGGGCAGGAAAGGTAAAGCTCTGTTCAGTCAACAGACAAATTTTACCTCGCTCCTCTGTCAGTGAATACAAAGTCTAGTGTTCAAAGAGTTCTCCTAATGAGTTACTAATCATCTTCACTCTTTCTTTAAAACTCAGCACTATATCCTTCCTATTTCTCTTCTAAGCTTCTAAAACTGCTTTAGTGCTTGGAAAGCATTTGACTCAATATGGTATTTAAAAGACCCCTCCTCCCCTGAATTTTGAAGAATTGATAATTTGCACTTTTACAGGCAGAGACAGGGATCATGGTCTCATACTCTACCTGTATTCTCTCCTTCAGCTTCTGGGAATGCTTCTTCCTCTCATTTATCTTCTGGCTTTTCTCTTCTACGTCTGCCTCGAGCTTCTTTACCTGCTGCAGCAAAAACCCTTCCTCAGCCTCTGAGCACTTCCTTTGCTCCATTTCTCTTTGCTGACAATTCTTCTTTGTTTCTATCACAGATTGCTGCATAGCATTTTTCAAATCCTCTTTTTGTCTCTTATAAGAGGAGGCTTGCACTTTGCTTGTTTTCTGAGTATATTCTTCAGTTGCTCTCTGGTTCTCACTCTTCAGGTTTTCCACCTCATTTGTTAGAGGCTGTCCTTCCACACTGTACTTTTCATCTAAAATTACTTTTTTATCTAAAGTTGCTCTCCTAGATGCTTTGCATTGATTTAGCAGTCCATCAGACTCCTGATTTAAACGTAGAGCCTTGTTTTCAACGTCTGCATTGGTGTCTACCATGTCTGTAGAAAGGACTGTGTGTGCTTGTCTCGCTTGTGTTCTCGGCTCCCTCTCTTCCACCTGCTTCTTGCACAGTGTTAACTCTGCCAAGGCTTCTTCCTTTAGTCTCTTGTGTTGTTCTACTGCAATTTCAAGGGCCTGAATATGTTTTCTGAGCAATTGTTCTTCTTCAACTTTGCTTTTACATTGGAGAATCGTTTCTCTTGTCTCAGCAAGAATGCGCTGAATTTCTTCTTCATGAGCCTCTCTCAGAGCCTGTATACTAGCCTCATGTTCATCATTCTTAGTGTTCAGGGCATATATCACCTATAGAACAAGAAAAACAATAGGAAATTAAAGTATCTGGTAAATGGTAGTCATTAATTCAGTTACTATATTTATCAAGGTATTAAATGCTAAAAGAGAATTACTGCTACAGTTTAATCTTTTGCTGTTGTTTCTTTGTGGTGGTGGTGGGTTCCCCCCCCTGCCCCCCCCCCCCCGCCGCGCGCACGAAGCCCCGGAACAGAAGGGACAATTATAAACTGCAAAACCTTATAGGGAAGGAAGACAATACTGTGACAAACTTTTTTTTTTTTTTCACTTTTTGTCAGAAATTTCCTTATTTATTCTTGGGAAGTTGTCACTTCATGCCCCTAGCTTGGTCTCTGATACAAGGAATGAAATAGGGCCCCTTCTCTAGCTAACTCCGTATTTGTAGTCCAGTTCACCTAGCCTTCAGTGCAGGAGGACTACCCGCCATGCTGCCTTTGCCAGCAAGCGCTGGGGAACAGTAGTAGCAGATCTGTAGAGTGAAACCTGAAGTCCTAACATTCAGTTCATGTGGACCAAACTCACTCTGTGATGTAAATGAAAGGGAAGTTTGTAAGGAGGATTAAATTTTGCACTCCTGACTCAAACTAAACCACCACTGAAGATGCACTCCTGGAAGCCGTATGCCTGGCAAGTTAGCTTGGTCAGCATTTCAAGATAGGTATTACTCGACTGCAAGCACCTTTTGGCTTGATTCCAAGAAGTTTCAGGCAATGGGGTTTTTTACTTCAGTAACAGCTATAAATCTCAGAAATCAGGTGTTAGCAGATTCAAGCAAGCCTCTGATGACAATAAGAATTTTTTTTAAACAATTGATTTAAACCTTTTGAAGTTTTATTTTCTTCTACAAAAATGCAGAATAACAATTCTCATGAATGTAAGACAAATTATTACCCCAAGCAGGCTTTGTTTGTTACCCATGGCATACAGCAAAGACCTCTCACACAGAAGCTGTTGTACAAGCACACTACTATTGTTTTGAAAAGAAAATACTATTAGAAGCCCACAGTAGACTGAAATGAAGAGTTCAAAGTCAAAACTAGTAAATGTACATGTTAAGCTTACAAGATAGTTATATATAATTGCAGAACATAGTAATTGCCTAGAAAAGACACATGCTTGTCTTTTCAGGCCCCCATTAGGACACATGGCGCCTCATCCAGTTTGTACAGGGCATAGTTATCAAACTCAAGCGGAACACCACATTATGTATTAACATATGTGTGGAGGTTTTCCACTTGTTTGGTTGGGGTTTTTTTTTAGAGAGAATTTATTGCTCTACAAAACTAGGTTTGGAATTTGTATATAAGTTATGACAGATACATTCAGTCTAGCCTGAGCCCATACAGGTTAATCAAAAGATTCTAGACAATGTTTGAGAAAATAATAGTCTTAAGTATATAAATAAATACAGAAGCGAGGTCACAACTAGTTCTTTATACTAGAATTTTGGCCCTGTAATCTTCAATATTTCCTCAGGGAAAGCCTCAATTAAGAGACCAATAGGCATCTTGACCACAGTAAGTGTCACAAGTCTGTAGTCTGTGTTATACAAGCCCTGAGGATGTCTCCAGAATTATTGTACTCGCTTAGCTGTGTCTAACCATTTTTTGTTCTATCTGTATATGAATAACATATTGAATTTCAGTCATCCATAAATGAAAGCAAACACACGACTACATCTTGTGTGTAGTCAGCTTCTTCCCTGGCAGTAATGAATTAAGTACAGATGTCTTAAAAAGTCACAAATGCAAAACATGGTCTGGGTACATTTCTGGATAAGTATGTGACGAAAGAGAGTAGTAACAGCATCATATTCCAGAAGCAGACAAGAAGTCATTGTCTACATTTAGATATATATATTTGAGGGCCTTAGATTACATGCTGTTAATTCTTCTCTGTTATTTTTAACCATTTTTCTTTTGAAACAGAAATAGTTGCAGGATACTGAGTAGATTCCTTCTCTCCACTAACTAAAATTGTTCTATGAACCTTTCTTAACTGTTCGGGAGACAGCATAAAAACTACAAGGAGAAGATTAATTTTGCCCATGGGTTTAGAATGACCAGTAATTAGTTTGGGCAACTCTTCAGTTAACTAGGTCAGATGTTGATGATCACATTTCTGAATTTCATTCCACCAGCAAAACAGAGATGAACATCTGGCCTTTGTCACTCAAAGACTTCCACTCTTAATGCTAATTTAGCTAGTAAATCAGCACTGCCTGTCTCATGTTATGTTGTGTTCAGGCTGATGGTGGAATTTGGGTTCCTCTAAAGTCTGACTTCATCATAGAGATTTCCCAAATACCACTGAGCATTAGACCATCACCAACATCTTAAGTGGTTATGTAAAAGAATGGAAGAAACCGGCCTCCCTGCTCTATTTGTTATTCCTATGCTTCTGTTCAGTAGTGGCTAGAACCACAATGAAGAATTTTGACTTGAAAATGCATGCCCTTAAATTTAATCTTCAAGCTTGAGTGCTGAAACTGATTCCTCAGTATCTTAACCTTCTTAAGAGATTTAATTTTTAGAGGGCTGCTGCTCTGTACTTTATGAAATTTAAGCCCCTCACACATGCCTTTCACTCCCTACCGAATATAGCTAGTACATTCCTGTTCCAGATACCTCATTTAAGAGACTAGAGTTATGTGACATGAATCTGGGATTTTATGTGTGGAAGGAAAAATACTGAAAAATTATTTCAGCATCTGTACTTTGTGAGTGTATGTACTGCTGGCTAATGTGGTATAAACGTCTTAACAGTTGTGTTGATAAACAGCTTTTTAAAAGCAGCTCTAAAATTGATCAGTTTGACCATACAGACAGAATTGCTCTCAAATGAAAAAAGCACTACATCACTCTTCAACTTACTAGCGTAATACCGATGGCTACTGCCCCCTTACAGTTCTCCAAAACTGAATGTATTGGGAAACATTGTACTGATTTTACAGCAACTGAGAGTTATATGACAGGTTGGTAAAAACACTATTACACACATACACTTGAACATTAACAGTGCAGTGAATATGAATACATCTTATTAGTCCTATTTTATCTTCCAAATGCTGTAAATCTAAATAGCATTTCCCTTCTTTTCTTTATGGTGATGTAAAATAACAAAAAAGAAACATTCAACTGCACCTCCTCAGTGAAGATAAAGCTAAAGCATTTGAACCAAAAAAGACTGCTCTATCTTCCTACAGTAGAGTTAAACACTGCTTTTGTAGTAACCTGACTATCATAGTGAAAAAAATGGTTCTAGCAGGTTGCTTTGTTAGCTGAATAAGAAGTGAGACTGTTTGGTATGGAAGGTGCGGAGTGAGGATGATAAGAAGACTCAAAGAAAGGCAAAAGATCATAAATGTTCTTCCTTCAGGCCCAAGCTAGTGGGCACAAATCCTTTCTGATGGAGAAAGGGCTAAAAGAAAAAATAAAAAAACAAAAAACAAACACAAGAATGTGAAAAGGCCCTGGAGGGTGGTGCCAAACAGGGTACTCCTGGCAGCACCCTAAACAAAGCAGGGAAGGAGACAAGTTTTGATTGCTAATTAGTTTGCTAGAAGCTCACTGAGGCCAGGTGACTGCATCATCTCCTTTTCACTAGTAGTAGCAGTATCTTATCTTCCCTAGATGGTGAATTTGTTTCTATGAATTCTGTCCTGTCTACTTCCCAAGCAGATCAGAGCAGAATGAGGTATCTAAACATATCAGCCTTAAAAGGGTCTCTTTTAAAGCAAAGGACAGAGAAATTATTAAAAGTAAGTTCAGTTATTGAAAGAAATGGCTCTGTATGCCTTAGCCTCCTCTGTCACTGTAACTATACAGATTAGAAAATAAAACCAACTCCCACAATTTATTAATTAATACTCTAATAAGTATCTTTTGTTCTTTCTAATACTGAATGAGGAAGAATGTCTTTTAATTAAGGTATAGGCCTAGGCTATAATTAGCTACAGTGCTAATCCAATTTTACACCTATGCTGATTTCAACTGAATGATACCGCTGTAACATATGCTCAGGGACCTCATGAACCAAGTCTCATATCTCTCCTTGTGTCCTCTGTGGCTTCCTGAAAGCCTAATAATAATTTCATGCATGCAAATAGTTACAGCAACTCTTGACAACATTACCGATTTATGTGTTTATATGAGAAAAGCCTTTAAAAATTGGCAATCCAAACATCCAGAAGTGTTTCAGAACCTAAAATTACAAAAATATCTTTAAGATCACAAGGAATTTTGTTTATATTTTTAAGGTTTTTTTTATTTGTCTTATGATTTTTTAGTCTTCCAGGTGTGCCTTCAGCACCTTGCAAAAACACAAGCTAAAAAGTAATTTATTTTCCTCTGAAATGAAAGCCCAGCTCCAGCTGAAATAACTTTGTTTTCAAAAACTGGAGTTGTGGGGAGAAATACCAAAAGCTTCTTTTGTGAGCTTTCAGATTACATAGCCCACTACCATCCTGTTCATTAGAAAAATCCTATAAAGTACATTTATTGTTATAAGAAATATATACAGTTCATGGTTCATTTATCCACTCACTGTGACAGTACATTTAAAATTCCTTTGAATCAACACAGACCACCACAATGTTGACTGTCACTTATAAAACAATAAAAATACCTTATCTCAAACCTTTCACTGTCAGCAAGTTATTAAAAATATTTGTCCAAAATTTCCCAACCCTCAAACTTGTATCTATCCATGCATAGTGGGCATGAATAACAAATTAACAAAGTCAGAGATGCAAAGAGTTCAGGGCCAACTTACATGAAATGGCGTTCATGAGCTCAAAGTCAGAGCTGAGAACCCAGCTACAGCTCACAGTACCAGCCTCTCACTGAAAACAGTATGGCTGCTTTTAGCTCTGGAAACTATAACCAGAAACTAATGAGCTTTGAGGATGCAAGTTCTACAAAAAGCCAGATCAGGTGTCCCAGCATCATACTGCAAACACATGCAGCTGGCTTGACATAGCCGTAGCTCAA